GGCCTGCCTTGTACGACCCTGGATCCGACACGGAAATCTCCGATCACATGTATTGTCACACTCCCGAGGGATGGACCATGCATCAGAGCATCCGATACGATTTCGACCAGACACCTTCTGGCATTGTCAACACTCCACCTGAAACTGCGGCCCCGTGTGATTACAAAGTGAGACCCTATACACTTCAAATGACGGGGTATGAGAATGTCATACAGCAACAGCAGCCAGAAACACACACATCAATCAACACACTCATTCCTACTTTGGACGCCTGGGAACAGCATCTACTCCGGGACTTACACTTTCTGGTTCCCGAAACTGAGGTTTGGACAGCTCTTGCTACGAAAGCTTGCATTCTGGCCTGTGATGGGTCAGCTCCCGATGGTAAGGGATCTTTTGGGTGGATTCTCAGTGACCCCCAAGGTACCCGCTTGGCTCAATGCAACGGTCCGGCATTTGGTTACCAACTGAACTCATACCGAGCCGAAGGATACGGGATGTTGTCCGGTTTTCGATTCCTCCACCACATGACCACGATTCACTCCACAGACATACCAATCCACAGGCATGGCTGCTTCTGTGATAACAAATCAATGGTTGAGGTCACAGTGAAATACTCCAAATTCAACAGGATCTTTCCAAACAGTACCTTATCCGCTGAGTGGGACATTATCGCCAAAATTCGACAAACTCTACAACAAATCCAACCGGCCACTTCCATCCCTAAAATCAAACACATCAAAGGCCATCAGGACGATGAGAAACCATATGATGAATTAACGCTGGAATAAGCCCAACTCAATGTCGACGCCGACGGCCTAGCCAACCAATGGTTGGTGGACCACCCAAACTTCGACCACACACAAGTCCCAATTCTTCCAACGAGTGGGTGTCAGCTCAATCTTCCAGGTGGAACCATCACACACAATCTGAAACACGAACTCAAACTGGCAGGATCGGTGCCTCAACACAAACAGTTTCTCATGAATAAACATGAGTGGGACAGCGACACATTTGAAGATATCGACTGGAAATGCCATGGGAGGGCACTCAATCGCTTGGATCACCATCGCACCTCCCTCACCAAGTACCTTTGCAATTGGCACCCCGTCGGTAAACGTGTCAACAAATACCACCCCAAATATCCCATTGCATGCGCATCCTGTGGTGCCCCAGAAGAAAACAGAGAACACGTCCTGAGATGCCCCAAGCGACAATCAGAACGAACGGCATGGAAGAAGGCACTCAAGCAATACACCGACAAGCACAACACTCACCCAATGCTACAAACACTTCTTCTCTCAGCACTCCAAAAAGTACTCGATGGAGAAGATACCACAGGAATTGAATACGATGACAGTGTTGCCGATATCGCAAACGCCCAAGCAGCCATCGGTTGGGATCAGCTCCTCAAGGGACGACTATCCAAACAGTGGGCGCAACGCCAGGATCAACACCTTAAGGAATGCAATCTCAAAACACATCGGAAAAATGGCCAAACCTGGCTCACAGGGATTATTCAAGAATTGCTCAACCAGTGGTTCGAACTCTGGGAGGCCAGGAATCATGATCGGCATGGCAAAGACGCACAAACCAAGGCACAGGCAGCCAACCGACAGGTTATCCATGAACTTCAGCTGCTATATGACAAATACACCGGAAACCTCAGAACGGAACAGGCATGGCTTCTCCAAACACCAATCAACACAAGATCCCAATGGCCCACGGCATCAATCCGACAATGGATCAACACTTGGGAACCAGTCCTTGAAGAGAGTTACGCCACACAGCTTGAGACTGGGTAATTGATGCAGGACCTCCACTTCCCATCCTTCCAATTCCCTCCTGCGTCCGCTTCCGTCCCTCATTTTCTCCCTCCATCCAACCCACCAAGTAACTCTCCCTGAATCCATTCGGCCAAACCCACAAATCAGTTAGGAATATATGTCCGGCAAATCCACACGAGATATGCCATTTATACTTACATGTAACTTTAAATGCACCATCTCCCCTATGGAGTGTGGTGCCGGTGAGGGAACCAGTGGTGGTCTCCTGTGAAACCAATCCCCGCTTCGGCCGGGAGCGGTTACCCAAAGCTTCGGCTGCAGCACAGTGATGATCCGTCCATTGGGGCCATATCCGTTATAAAGATTTTGTTGTTTTTAATACCGATAAGCCAGCGGAGCTGTGTAACCTCGGCAGAAACGTTTCAGTGTAGAAGCAGATACCCCTATTAGCTAGCTAGCTAGAAGCAGATACCTGTAGTGCTTAGCTAGTGCTTAACTTGCGCTTAGCTAGCCAGAAGCAGACCCCCTAGCTAGAAGCAGATACCCCAAGCTAGCTAGAATACTAGTTATATAGCTTTTGCTAGCTTTAGAGTTTTTCCTGGTAAAAGCAGACACCCCTACTAGGATGCATGTAAATCGCTTTAGCTGGTTCAAAAGCACCATCCTAGGATACTTATTTAGTTTTTGCTGACTTATTTGTATTCTAACCCTACCCTTATACCTGCAGGGACCACCGTAGCAGGAAAAACAATTAAAGGGGTTGAGGGCTCTGGCAGCAAGACTGCCGAGGTGAAAGGTGGATTCCACATCAGGATGATTCTTGCCCAATGATGGTAATTGAATGGAAAGGGCTTTCTCATAGTTTGCCAAGGCACCGTCATTGTCAAAAATATCATGCAGGAGAGAGCCAATATTGAAGTAGCTGAATGCGACATGAGGATGATTTTTTCCTAACACAGACAGCCTTATGCCAAGACATTCCTTATAATTTGCCAAAGCACCATCATTGTCACCCATCGCTTCCAAAGAAGAACCAATATAGTTGTGGCTGGCCGCCACATCAAGATGATTCTTGCCATGTATCGACAACTCAATGGCAAGACATTCCTTGTGCTTTGCCAAAGCACCTTCATAGTCACCCATCTCTTGCAGGACAGAACCAATGTTGTGGTAGCTGCTGGCAGTATCGGGATTATTCTTGCCATGTACGAACAACTCAATGGCAAGACACTCCTCATACTTTGCCAAAGCACCTTCATAGTCACCCATCTCTTGCAGGACAGAACCAATATTGTGGTAG